CATTGATCAGATGATTGCAATGAAAATCAATACCTCGATCATGAAGCATGTTTTTTTTTTAAATGAAATGGACATAACACGGAAACCTAGCATAGCATAAAAGCGATTTATCTTCCTCATATGCACATGTATATCTAATTTGTATTCATATATTTGTACATATGCTAGTACAACTACCAGATGAATAATTATGAAATGTTTAATTTCCATGAAAAACAATTATCTATTTTATCGAAAATAATGCACACTACCAAATAAATATGATTCTTATTTCCATGTGAACAATCTTTTGTGTGTTGATTGTACTTAAAATGAAAGTAATTGATTTGTAAATAAATTCAAAATATATTTTGCTGTATTAGGTATTAGAAATTAACAAACACCAATAATTGCTCTTTAAAATTTTTAGAAGACTGTGAAAATTACGCAACAAAAGTTTACATCAGGTTGGCAAATTAACTAAACAAAATTAGCTTATTCATGCATGATGTCATCCTTGACCATTTACTACTGTATACCTGACACATGTTTGTAGAGATACTACTATTAACATATTAACTTTAAGTTTCGTTTTGTTTCCAATACTCTTTTCTGTTTTTTAAATATCATTATTTGGCATTTCGGTCAAGAAAATATTTATTCTTTTTTTTTTAGGGGGGGGGGGGTAAATTGTTATTAATTCACCAACCTTTCAGAAGTATTTTGTTAATCCACTATATTTTCCAGTGACACTTTCTCCTTATTAGGTATAATTTTTGGTTTCGTTTTCTAAAAATAAATACGTTGCTTAAAATGTTTGCTATGGTTTCAGAGGCCTTTCGATTGTTAAATTTGTTATGTAGTGATCAGATAATTAAGCATTTTTCTTGTCCATCTTCGAAAAGCAGGCTTTGGAATTTATGTACATCTGTGAACAAAATTAAAGATCGGTAGTAGTGTTATACAGTCCAGAGGAACATGATTTGTAATGAAAATGAATATCATAGGTGGGAGCTCTTGCCATTACATATATTGAAGGCGTTTCATAAGTTTCTTGAGATCTTGATGACTTGTTAATATTAACATGGACAAGCGCACTATAGTCAAAATGAAGTACAATTGCTGTATCTGATATGATCCCTAGGTTTAAATAGCAAGAGTGATGTGGTAGACAGGAGTTATCAAATGGGCCAATTAACCATTTAGTGCCAAAAACAACCATATCATAAGTTACTGGCATCTGTAAAAAGGTGCAAAGTTTCTGAGATAGGTTAGTCCAGCGGGGGAAAAGTCCAGACCATTAAAATGCTCAACAAAGATTGTCCATGATTCTAAGTGCATGAGCACAAGTACTTTTAATTAGGGTTTGATCAGGTGCTGAGGTTTTTGAATACCGCATGTCAGGTCAATAATTTTCCCCAGAAAGGGGAGACCGGGAGGCACATTATTACAAGCAAAATTATTTAAAATTTAAGTCCAATTATTAGTGATTTTAATCCACGAAGAATAGCTGTGCTTTTTTCTTAAATCTGGCTAGTGTTTGTCTTAAACGAATGACCTTAATCTTCCATTCATGGAACCGGACTTCAGACTCTACGAATCTATTTCTTAATCTATTAATGTAATTTCTGTGTAATAGTCATTTCTTTTATTTGATTGGCAGACTGATTATTTAAGATGATTAAGCTAATGCATCAGGTATAATGAAGTACCCGGTTTGCCAATGAGCAGAAAATCATTCAGAATATATATACACAGAATGTTTAACAGAACTCGTTTTGAAGAATCCCTAGAAGGTATGACTGTGGTGAATAAATTTCTCAAATAGCTAACGGGCATGCGGGCATGCAAGGGTCGCGTCATTACGGATTCATGCCATTTACTAATAGACCAAGGCTTATACTTGTGTCATTGACCTTGACAAACTTCAACTGCTCCTAGAGCTCCTTCTTTGCTGTTTTACATGTAGAGTCTTGGTCATGTGCGTGTTTAGGTTGGAGAAAAAAGTTGAAAATAAAAAACAAATCCCACAGCCAAAATACACTTCGATCTGCAGAATTTTATCATTAGAGGTTGCTGAACACAGGATTAAAAGCCCTTGATTTGTGAAGATGACTCCACTTCCTAAGTGCACAGGAATCTAATAACATGTGACATTGTTTTGAATATGGTTGGAACCTCTCAGAAACGGGAAGACATATGTCACATTGGCGGATCTAGAAATTTTGAAAAGGGAGGGGGGCCAGTTTGAAGTTAGGATAGGGGCCCACAGCCACACCAAAAAAACATTGATTTATCAAATATTGTGTATTTTTTTACACGGGGGGGGGGGGGGCGGCTCTAAATCCGCCAGTGAGTCAGAAGTAACATACTAGACAAAAACCCTAATTAACAATTATCATATCTATGGTTAAATGTAACAAGAGGCCCATGGGCCACATCGCTCACCTAAGAAGCTTTGACCATTCTGTTCTTTACCAGATTTCTCCCATGTAATACATATTGCGACCCCACCCTACCCCACTGATCATAATTTTGACAATTTGAAATCTACACTACCCCAGGATGCTTCCACAAAAGTTTCAGCTTTTCTGGCCCAGTGGTTCTTGAGAAGAAGATTTTTAAAGATTTTTTATATACATTTTATGTAAAACTTTGATTCCTCATTGTGGACCGGCCCTACCCCCGGGGGTCATGATTAGAAAAATTTAGGATCTACTGGCCCAGTGGTTCTTGAGAAGAAGATTTTCAAAGATTTTTCCTATATATTTCTAAGTAAAAATTTGATTCCGCATTGTGGCCCCGCTCTACCCCTGGGGGTCATAATTTGAACAGTTTAGAATCTACACTACCCCAGAATGCTTCCACATAAGTTTCAGCTGTTCTGGCCCAGTGGTTCTTGAGAAGAAGATTTTTAAAGATTTTTCCTATATATTTCTAAGTAAAAATTTGATTCCGCATTGTGGCCCCGCCCTACCCCCGGGGGTCATGATTTGAACAATTTAGAATCTACACTACCCCAGGATGCTTCCACATAAGTTTCAGCTTTTCTGGCCCTGTGGTTCTTGAGAAGAAGATTTTTAAAGATTTTTCCTATATATTTCTAAGTAAAACTTTGATTCCCCATTGTGGCCCCGCCCTACCCCCGGGGGTCATGATTTGGACAATTTAGAATCTACATTACCCCAGGATGCTTCCACATAAGTTTCAGCTTTCCTGGCCCACTGGTTCTTGAGAAAAAGATTTTTTAATGACCCCACCCTATTTTAGTCTTTTCTTGAGTATCTCCCCTTGTGAGGGAACTTGGCCCTTTATTTTAACAATTTAAATTCTCCTTTACCCAAGGATGCTTTGTACCAAGTTTGGTCAAAATTGGCCTAGTGGTTCTTGAGAAGAAGTCGAAAATGTGAAAAGTTTACAGATGGACAGACAGCTAGACAGACGGACGGACGACGGACAAAATCTGATCAGAAAAGCTCACTTGAGCCTTCGGCTCAGGTGAGCTAATAATCACACTTAAACATGATGTAATCATTTTAGAATTTATTTTTCTTCAGTATGTTACATTAAGTGATGCAATATTCTAAGTATGACTTTAAAATGACATATCATATGATAACAAATTTCATAACAAATTCTTCCTGTACATTAATGAAACAAATTTTGAAATGTAACAATTAAACTATTGCATAATTAACAGGAATGATTTTATAAACAACCAAATATATTACAACAAAACATATACACTTAAAAAATCAGTACTCTTTTGTAGGCTTTCAGATCATGAAATATCCAAGACTATTTTATTTGGATTTTTTAGTGGGGGGATGTCAAAAGAGCAGCTGGGGAGATTACACTGCAAATTTAGACTTCCAAGCATTGAATTCAACTTTGATATTAGCCCAACATCTACTTTTAAGCTAACATCTGTATGAATACTTTCAAGGACAAAACTATTTAATATACAACAACCAAATGTTTCACATTAAAGATTAATTATGCACTACTGAATGCAATACATTGCTTAATACTTTATTTCAATCAACCCAAGCTCATTTGGAATCATTTGGCTTCATGTGTATAGAATTTAATGTCATTGCAACTTATATTCCAAATTTAAAATGCCTCAATTTTACATCAAATTGTCAATTGCATTGGTATCTCAAAGATATGTACACATCAGGCATGTAGCATTAGGGGGCTAGCAGTCCTCTTTTTCCGAACACATCTTTAGTATTGAAAATATTATTTCTCTCTTTTGCTGTAGTCAGATAAGAATAACAAGTTGGAACACACTTCATCCTCTGAAATATTTTTGCCTCTCAAGTTTGTTCATATATCTCGATCCCCCCCCCCCCTTCAAAAACAATATGCTACATCCCTGCACATGTAAAAATACACGGAATGATACATGTTTATAAAGACACAAAGAATAATTTACACATGAAGATAAATCAAAATTTACGTAGATAATACATGTATTAGGATATGATTTTAAATACAATGAATTAATTTGTGAACATATTTAAAGATTACATTGCACCAATGTAGTAAAGTCTAGCCGAGAAGTACACACAGTTTTTCAATGATTAAAACTTTAAATATCTATGCTTCTATGGTTTCAGGTGGAATTAAAATGCATATTAATACCAATCATTTTTTGATTTGTTCTTTAAAAAAAAAATTGGGTCAGATTAGTGATACTGATGTTAAACTTGTTAATATACCACTTAAATTGCACTTTATAATGTGTAAAAAAAAAAATAAATAAATAAAAAAAATAGACAATTTCACAAAACTCTGTTTGATATACTATTACAATTTTAGTAATGACACATTAAATTAATAATCAAACACTTAATAATTAAAAAAAACTAGACAATTTCACAAAACTCTGTTTGATATACTATTACATGTAATGACACATTAAATTAATAATCAAACACTTACAGTGTATCCATAATCCTGATCATTTATTTACAAGTATAGGGTATGAAATTTTAAAACTGTTTTAGAGTTCAGAATAATTGCATACCGTATGTCAAATATGCAGAAACAACCCCAAGGATCAGATACATTATGTAATAAAAAGACCACAAATAATACAAGTGGGTGAAAATGATAATAAAAGTGATTATTTCAGATGGAAATTGAACATCCAATGATTTGTCATTGGCAATCAAAGGTATATGTTTGAATTGTTTACAAAATCTATTTGACAAGTTTCATAATGAGAAGCACATGAAATCCTCCAATTATATTGCAAAGTTAGAGTTCTAATGAGATCATTATTCACTGAATCCTTTTCCAATCAAAGCTACTTAAAATATTTTGAAAATGGTGCTATCTGGTACATATGTACAGGTAAGTACTTCTTTATAGTCATGGAGCTTTGTTAAACATGTTAACAACCAAACTTTAAAACCAGTGGGAATACATATAACACAAAGAAACCTTGTTTTCCCATCAAATTGTTTTAATGTAAATGTTCCTCCTCAATTTCCACATAGGGATATTCATCAAAACTGCCTGACTCCACAAAATCTGGGTGACAACAAAACCTGCAAAATAATTGAGAGCAATTTTTAACCTTAACCCTTTGTTTTCAGGTTCTGAAACAATGGGATATTAGAATAAATGTGATCTCAGATAAATAAATGATAAGAAACAAACATTTAATATTAGACTAAATAGGTTAAATATTTGGTTTCTTTGCTTTGTAAATTAAGGCCTTGATCTGGAAAATGATCTCCAAATTTAAATTCAATTTCCAAAAAATTTACAAAATTGAAGATTTACATCACCATTTCCTGGGGCAAAACATAAACTGGTTGAGCTAGGAACTTTTGTTCATTTGGCCTTGTAAAATAGACTTTTTACTTAAATCATTTTTCGAATTAAATTCAGGAATATCTAATAGCTATTTCACAGGATATTTTCTCAAAAACATTGTCAAAGCCTAATTCAAAAGAAAATATTTTTTATATATATGCAATGAAAGCAAATATTTCTGTAGCATTAATATTTTTTTTGAAATATGGGATAACAATGAATATCTCATTGACCAGTCTCAGAAAATGGCAGTTTTAAATTGTGTTATGAAATTATAAAATCAATGCCCTCATTGTAATTCATTTTGACTGAAAAACAATTTCCCATTTCCCTACTCAAACTACAAAGGACATAAAGTTTTATTATGTGAAATTAAGAATATTCTCAGATTAGATTTTAAATTAGCGTTAAACCATTCAAATATTAATGTCTTTCTAAACAGATTAAAAGTTAAATAAAATATTAGTATTGGTCAGCACAATTATTTCAACATTCTGATCAGGTTACATTTTAAAAGCATTGTCTATCAGAATTTTTTATCCATATGCATGGGTGGATACAGGATTTGTGATTAGGGGGAGCTTGGATAATTTTGTAGAGGCAGGGGGTCTGGGGGCCGCCTTAAGGCCCCCAGTAGGCCCAGGGGGGAAGCCCCCGTAAGCTCCTGGGTTTTCGTTATTTTAAGAGGAAAACCAGGCACAATAATAGAGCATATTTTCATTTATTTCTGTTAAAAGTGACATATAGGTCCGATGGGCCGGGTGTTTGAAAGTCTATAGTATTGAATGTTTTTCATTGTATTGTATTACAACACATTCCACCAATGAATGATTTACTTACTTACGTGTAGTGGTATTGGTTAGTTAAGTACCAAAGTACGGCATTATTAATACTAGTCATATCATACTTTGAATGGTGGGGGCTCTGGGGGGAAGCCTTCGGAAGCTCCTGGGTTTTCGTGTATTTTTCGTGTATTTAAAATAGTAAAACCAGGCACAATAACAGTGGTATTGGTTAGTTATGTATCAAAATATGGCATAATTAATATTAGTTATCTCATACTTTGAAAATTTTAGGGGGAGTGGGGGGGGGGGGGGGGCGTGCGCCCCCCACGCCCCCCTTTAAATCTGCCAGTGATATGTAACCTATAAGTTTCTCTTCAGAATTCAAAAACTTTCAAATGACAAAGTGTGAAAAATAGATTTCTAATAAAAAAAAAGAATATTTCTAATCTACAACAAGAGGCCCATGGGCCACATCGCTTACCTGAGTAGCATTTGTGATGTCGTTCTTTACCCAATTTCCCCATTGTAATACCTAGTGTGGCCTCATCAGCTTTTCTGGCCCAGCGGTTCTTGAGAAGAAGATTTTTTAATGACCCCACCCTATTTTTGTATTTTCTTTATTATCTCCCCTTGTGAGGGGTCTTGGCCCTCTATTTTAACAATTTAAAATCCCCTTTACCTAAGAATGCTTTGTACCAAGTTTGGTTAAAATTGGCCCAGTGGTTCTTGAGAAGAAGTCAAAAATGTGAAAAGTTTACAGACAGATGGACAACGGACAAAATGTGATCAGAAAAGCTCACCTGAGCCTTCGGCTCAGGTGAGCTAATAAGGAAGCAAATATAGGGAAGTGTGTCAAGCACATAAAACAAAACATTGCCACTACCATAAACAAACATAATGACCTGTGTACTGACTTCAATATTAATGTTAACATTACAAAGCTGTCCCTGATAACTGTTTATGTGTTAAACATGTACATGTATGATCATAAATGTTCCTTATAATGCATTTATTACTTACTTTCATCACAGCAAGGGAAAAAACTATATATAGTTGAAATTCAACTTCATTATCTTAACTTAGCTATCTTGAAAACCATGCAAGGACAATTATGCCAGAATTAAATATTTGACTCCATTTAGAAAATATAGAACTGTTTACTTGATATATATTAGGATGGACAGGTACTTTTTTATCATCCATGCAAGACTGTTCTCGTATTACCTTGAAGTTGTAAATAAATTAAAGGATCATCTGTATGAACTTTGACCTGGTTACACCTCCTTAAAATATATTAGGTCAAGATGTGAGTAATACATTTTAAGGAGCACATCCCTGCAAGTGTGTTCCTGATAGCATGCAGTCCTTCTTTGACCTACTCTAAAACCTTCAGACATGCATTCCTGGGGGTATAAGCACATCATTTGATGTACTGTACCTTCAAATGTGTTACTGAACCTGCAAGGCATTTTTTTCAATGGACCTGCTCCACAACTTTATTATATAATGAGACATGGATGCTGAGTTATAAAGCACAATCGGGGGTCCATTTTACATAAGAACTAATGAATAATACCAAAACTTATTCTGCTTAAAACTTTTTTTATTTGCATTAAAGGGGCATGGACACAGTTTCAACAAAATTTAATAAACCAATTTCAATGTTTAAAATTCCTAACTAGGCATTATCTATTGATCAGCAAAAATTTGAATATCATTTGTTAATTACTAAATGAGATACTGCACTTAAAGTTCTTCATGACGTAAACAAGGCTCATGCATTGTTTTTGTTTACAAATAGAAAATATCATATTTATGACAAAATTAAGTTCATCAAATCACTAGAAACTGTCGAACTGTATCTAGAATTCACTTCTTTATTGAAATTATCTGCTTTGAATGAACATATATTGCTATCTTAACATATGTAAACAAAAACATGACACGGAACCTGTTTACATTACAAAGATTTGGAGCTGAAGTTAATCTTTTTTATGATCATTAGAAAGACCTTGGTTAAATATTTTAAAAATGGAAAAATGAATTTGAAATTTTAAGCTGAAACTGTGTCTATGCCCCTTTAAATTGAAAAGGATTTTAATTTTTTTAAAGGGATGTAAGAAGATATTTTCATGATAGCAATTTTAAACTTAATCATTTATTTCTAAAGATTTTACAATCAACTAAATTTTTTTGGTCTTAGTCCTTTTAAAAGTTCTTTTGATAAATTCTTTCCTAATTCAATGAGGTTTACTGCAAGTGTCAACTTCATCAAAGGGAGCTAAAACTGTATTTTTCTAATGATAATCATGAGTTTTCTTTACTATTATTGCATTAAAGACCTTGTCATGGTCTACTGCGAATAGAAGCTATGTAACATTTCTTTCTGAGATGGGTTTTAACACTGCCAATTTTAATCTTAATACAAATTACTTCATATAAGTTGTTTCTGGGTAGCATTTTTGTAACAAGTAATCAATGATAACTGATGCTCAAATTAAACATTATTTATTGTATACTTGTAACAGTTAACATTGTCTATCACAGCCGAGTGCTTTTAGAAAGCTCCTGAAACAAAAATTAGTGTAAGTTAGCACTTTTCAGCCTTTCATAGGCATTCGTTATTACGAATGTTAATTTTGTAGTAAAAACAAAGCATGCATGTACAAAATACAAAATAAATACATGTTACAATGGCAGAATGCACAAATAATTTAACAAAAATTATAGATATAATTCACCTTTTCCAATACAAGTGAGAGGAAAAAACTACAACAAGATTACAAGTATCTACTAACAGTTCAGCAAGGCAAGCACACCCTGTCATGCAAGAGAAAATACAAAGCAACCCCATTTCCAGTTTGGAGTAAAAACACAGTACTGTTATCAAGATACAAACTGAGATCTGGAGCCACTGGAAGGAATTCTCCTGGTCTGTTGTTTGCTTCGTTGAGCTTTTTCTTTGGAGGCTTGGGTTTTCTTGTATGTTGCATGTAAGTCCTGGAGCCTCTTTTCCACATTGCCCAGTAGAGGGCGCCTCATGGGGTCTCCATTCCAGCACTCCTGCATCAAGTTCCAGCACTCCTCATCAAATACTGCCAACTTCTCTGGTCTTAGTCCTTTAGATAAATCATATGAAACATTTTTTGAACATGAAGAGATTTTCTTTAATTAAAACAAGGACTACGCATGGACACAAAATTTTGAAATCCATTTCTACATTTATACAGCAAATGGCAATTATTGTGAGAGTTTTAATGTTGTTTTTTTTTCAGCAAACTAATGTACATTCATCTTGTCAATAAATGCTGATATTTAAAAGTGGAAGCACTTTCAAATACTTGGAAAGAGTACTAAATCGTCTGCTTTATTTGGTAAGATACACAATCATATGTCTCCAGGAAAATATCTGCTTGATGTCTAAATTAGTATAAAGTTATATATTTGTACCTTTCTTGACATTTGTCCACAGTTGGTCTTTATTAGCACACTGTTCAAACGCACCCGGGAGCTTGACATTTCCTGCACAGACGTACCAGAACAGAACACCGAAGGCATACACATCAACACTGTTGTCATAGCGACCAGTAAACAGCTCTGGAGCCATGTGAATGGGCGTGCCCACGATACTGCCACTCATCATGGCCTCAGGCTTACAGAAGCCCAGATCTGTCAGCTTGCCACGGTTTTCCTTGTCAAGCTGAAATTTAACAACATAGAGTGTTCAAAAACTCCCAAGTTACATGTAATTAACATGACCATAGTTTCACTGTTATTTTACATAAATTTTTTTATGCTGCAGCAGCTCTTTAGAGATTCATGTACTCAAAAAATTGAAGCTGAACCTAATTTTTTTCCATTTCAGGATCTCCAAAGATTGTTGATTGAACCTAAGATTTTGTTAATTTTTAAATATAATCCACATGCAGAAATTTTATCCTACACCTTGACCCTGAGAAAGGTAAACTTACCAGTACATTTTTCAGTTTGATGTCTCGGTGGACCAACCCCTGACTGTGAAGAAATCGGATCCCCTCCACTACATCTATAGCTACAACTATCCTAGATAATGAATCAAAAAGACTTTAAGAAAGTATGCATTCAATCTGTGAACAGCTGTATTTTTAACAATATTGTAACTCTTATAAATGTACCATTCTTTCATTGAATAAAGTACTGTTACTGTATCAAAACCAGGGAGTTTCTAAGGCTGATAACATTTGCAATTTGTAATCTCAAACATGAATCGATATTCATCTTAAGTATCTCTGGAATCACAGTGAATGTTAAAAGGTCTTGAAAGTCAAAATCGCTTTTTCATATCTTTTTTATGCTCAATATCTTGAATCCTGAGAAATCTCTTTGTTCTTTCCTTGCCCCATACAGTTCAAGATTACAAGTTTGGACTATATCAGCTCTACTGTCTTTATTACCTTGACAACCAGTCCAGTCCCTGTTTGATGGCCCCATATAGATCCTTCTGCAGTCTGTCCATGATAAGTAACACCGCGGGGGTACTCCCTCCCCCGTACATGTAATCTATCACTGAGCCCCGCAGGGCCACGATTCTGTCATGGTGTGGAATGTTTCTGTCAATGATAGAAATCAAAACTAGATTTGTTGTTTCAGTACATTAAAATATATAGCTTGCCTCATTTTTTCAATTTCCTTAGAGATTCAGTCAGACATCATAATTATAACATACTTTTATGTAGACACATGCATAAGGTCATGAGAAAAAAATGAAACACATAGTATAGAATATGTGTAATTAAAGGAGTTACTCAATAAATATATCACTTCATTCATTTTCTTAAACATTTACTCTGAATCTTTGATAATTAACTTTCCATTTGATGAAACGATTGTCATATTGAATAAACATAACTTCATTCACCATGTTCATAGAAATATCATTAACAAAATTATTTGAATATCAAAGAAATACTTGTTTTAGAATTGATTACATACTTGGTATAATAGAATTCTAATGCCAAGTCATTCCAGTGTTTGTCATCAGGGGGAACAACTGATTTTATGGCACAAGGGGAATAACCTCCCCACGAATCACAGGAGTAGACAACTCCGTACTGCCCTCGTCCAATCTCACGGCCCATCTGTGGCATGCCTACAACAGTATGGAATTTCTTATTTATAAAACTCTTACATTTAACATTTTGTCAAGTAATGACATCCAAAAACACATGATACATGTATGTCAATAAATTTGTGAACTTTTAAACTCATCCCTTTCTATTTCTTAACTTATTTTGAACAAATTATGATCTTTCACAATGCTTTGATGTACAATATAAAGCAATACACATTATAAGGACACTACATGTATATATATACAGTCAACACTCATTATCTTGAACTTGATGGGATGACGAAAAATTTCGAGACATGCGAAGTTAAACTGTAAATGTATTAGGCTATCTAAATTTAATTCCCTGGTTCTCAGGCCAATTTTCTCCAAAACAGATGCGGGAGGGTGGCATTTTATTTTTCATTTTATTGGCAATAAAGTAGATGAGGGAGGTATTTTTTTAATTTTAATTTCCGAATTTTCTTTAACATAAAGATAATTTTTTTAATCACAGATATACTTTCCATTTCTGGTCAAAATTTCTGCTTTATCCATTGCTTAACAGCATGTAAACATCGTAGGTAATGTCATCGAATGTATTTTCAAACGAATAAGCCAAAATATGGCTACCGGAAGTGATATTTGAATACTAAACTACGAAACAAATGAGGTCGGAATTTTTTTTCCCGGATTGGTCTCCGCAATACCAACTTTTTATTTTATCAAAAATACAATAAAATCGGCAATGCGGCTACCTCAAAACGGATGCGCGCGGGCCTGAGAACCAAGATTTCAATTTTATATGGCCTTATTATGATGTAATTAACTCACCATGCAGGATGACATCCATTAGGGAGGTGCTCTCCAGGGCCACCTTAGCTACACGTGGAGCGTGAACTTTTCGGAGTTTTAACCGCCCCTCCTCTATCCTGTCTAATCTCCCAGAATGCTTCTGTTCCAACTGCTTAAGGGCAGCAGCAAAGGAATCATGGGATTTATTTAGCCTCTCTTTGATCTGACTAGATATGTTCTTGGCCAATCTGCAAAACAAAGTATCCTTCATTGCTGCTTGTATGTATAGATTGAAATTATTTTGTTAACGATAAAAAGGAAGTCTTCCCTTATTAAGCAATTAACCACCACCATTTTTATAAAACTGAATTTTTTGGAAAAGAAAACTTCAGAAACTTGAAATCATTAAAGTTATTTCATAAATTTAATGTACGTAGCACATATAATGTACTTTTAATGGTTCAGAGTAGTTCAAAATTTAAAACTATATGAATGAACCAGTGAATGCAGCAATGATCTGAAATTTAGCCTTCATCAGAAATTGAAACCTCCATCCTTCTGCACCATATTTACCACTCACCAGAACACCTGTAAGTTAGAATTTTTGTTTAAGTGTCACTGTTCATTACCTGGCCTCACTGAGGCTGCTCAGCATGTCTGATGCTGCCTTCCTCTTCCATTCCAAGTCTATCTTAGGTTGTGTGCTCCACGGCATGGACTGTACTAGCTGGAACAGAGGAAATTCACATTAATTAATATTAGGCCAGAGGGTCAAAGTCAAGGTCATATGTTTTTTCAAAAAAATATTAGATGTTTGTGAATCTTATCAGTGTTGATTTAAAAAATAACAATGTTACAGCTTTGACAGATAAAAACCAGCCGTAATAATGGATTAAAAAAAAAAAAAAACTGAATCAAGGATGTATTTACACACTGTATTTTCTCGAGTCACATTCAGACAAGGATCAAGTGTTTCTATAAATTTTTAAAATGTCTTATTTAAAAAAAATGCATGCCCAATATTTATGCAGGGTTAATTGTCAACCTGAAATTTTTGGTCCATTTCATTTTCAATATATTTTTGCCAATTGATGACAATAGTAAAAGGAGTGAATGGGTCCAACTTTCTTTAGCACACAGTACATAATATGTATACTCGTGTATTTCTTTCACAACTCAATTTTCATTCTTCTTTAATAAAAAAAAACTCTTTAGTTACATCATTTTTTTTGTTTTAACTTAAACTATAACATGAAAACTACTGATTTCACTTCATAAGAAAATTAATAGAGTAAAACTCACTGTAGAGAAAAAAAATCAAGGTTCTATAATGTTGTTATTTCATCAATGTTGGCTGGCTCAAGCTTGTGTTAGTAAACATACAATATTGTTATATTTATTTACCGGTATAAAAGATATAAAATCTATAAAACACCATTTTGGACAAACACAGTCATAAACCCATTTTCAGATTGACAGGATTTTTGTTCATGCTATTTTCTGAGACTATTTTTCAACTTTTAGGAGAAGAAAATTGCCATATATGGGAAATTGAAAATTTTGATAAAAGAGTAAAGAGGAAGAGGTAGTCAGAATATACAAACCTTCATTAAGAGATTCTATAAAATCAGTGAATATGTTTTAGAAGGATTAAATCACTGTTAATTTGCATATTTCACAGAATATATTAAGAACTGTGTAATATATTTTTGCATAAAAAAGTAACATGTTACAGAAAAGAGAACTTGATTTCATGTTATCAACAGGGGTGAAATAAAGGACATTTTGGGGGAAATATTATGATAAATCATTGTACTGTATTTCTTTAAACATGGAAGTAAGGAATGGTGAGATAATCTCAGCTGTACTGTATTTTTGTGTTGAAGAAAATTCAAAATTATATAGAAGGGAATATTCAAGTTGACAGAAGCTTAATTCTTTTAAATATGGACATATTAAGGGTGAACGGCCTATTTTACAAAAGAACTTACAACTAAGGCCAAAATTTAATTCTGCTTATAACTTGCTAATTAACATTATATTGAAAATAATTTTTATATTTTTTAAAATGAAATTATAGTAAGATATTATTACAGTAGCAATTCTAAACAGAATCATTCATTCTACAAAATTTTTACAATCAACTTAATTTTGGTCTTAATTGTACGTTCTTTTGTAAATTGGACTCCAGAATATTTGTGCTGTACTGTATTATTGGTGTCAGAATATCCCAGTTATACTGTATATAAAGTTTTACCTGTTTCATCCTCTCCAGTATAACCCTGATAAGAGATGAACTGGACTGAAGGCTTATTTCTACCTGGTAGGCCGAGTTCATAATCTGGAAAGATAAAGTAGGTGATTCTAATATTAATGTTTCCTACATATCATGTACTGTAAAGGCCAGAGGACATTCATACACTCTAGGGAATAAATTCAGTGATCATGATAAATCTTGCAAAACTTAAGCATAATCACCAAATTTTTTTGATTTTAAACAATTATTACTGGTATTAACCCAAAAAATCTAAATACGATTAATAAATACAGTTAAACTTCTATATCAAGAACTTCAATATTTCAAATACCATGGATATGTCCAAGTGATGTGGAAGTCACAACCACATATTCTTTAAGTATTTTACCCTTAATATCTCGAATCCCCTCATATCATAAAGTTTTTTCTCAGCCCAGTTTGGTTCGAGATAAACAAGTCTGACTGTATATGGCAAATGAGATATGTTTTCTTTTGGACAGATATAATAGTTTATTGTGACTGTCATTTAGAAGTATAATAATTTATAACCTGTTTGAGGGCCTCACTAGTTGACCCCGATTCGTTTCCCTCCGTTTTGTCTATTCTCTCCAGACTCTCCAGACATCGTCTCAGGGTACCTGGTTATAAGAAAGAAAAACATTACATAATAGATATCAGATGCTGCATACAACACATAAAGCTAGTCTACCAATGTCCCTAATAAATTCTAACTGAACTTTGAACTTTAATGACTTTGAACTCCCAGCTTGCATATTATTCAGCTTGTCTTGAAACCTTCAACTATTGAAAAATATGAAGCTATTTTTATGAAATTTTATGATTTTTTCCCAAGATATGTTAAAATATGAATTTTATATTGATTACTGTATGCAATATTCAAATGGAAATTAAATGTATTGAAGTGAATTGTGTCATCATTAACTTGAATTAAGAATGGTGAAAGGTGTACTTTTTAAAATTTTAAGAGAAAAAAGAGTATAATCTCCAAGTAACACTACATCAGCATGAACTTGACAATGTATATTTTTATACAGTTATCAGTCATGTCTACTGAGTCAGTAACACAGGTGGACCCTTGTTATTCTCAAACTATTAATAACCAGCTGTTGACCTCTTTGTGCCATTATATCCCTCCCATCAGATGTAAATTTGACAAATAAGTGTTATCTCCCCTTGAATTACTAATCTATCTGATATACTTCAGATCTGTCTGATAAACTTTGAAGGGAAGTGCAACCAATAAAATCAATTTGATGATGAAGCAAGTACTATATTTGTAGCTTTTGTCACACATCATATCTATTTTTAAATTCTTAAATCAAATTAATCAAAAAGGAAGAAAAACAATATATACATTATAATTAGACTATATAGAAAAAGTATATTCTTATGTCATATGCACTCAAATAACATTAAAATTCAACATGGAATATACATGTAATTTAGAACATGTAGAACAACAAGATACATGTACAATCAGAGAAAATATTCTGAAATTTAACATGTTAAAATGTATGAAAATTGTTAGATTTTTTTTTTTTATTTCTAAACAGTACTTCTTGCAATATTCAACAACATTACTTCGGTAAATCCATATATATAGGATTTAGAGGAATTATTTAAAAATAAATATCAAACGTTAACATAAATATCAATATCAGATAATGACCTTGATTTTTTTCAAGATTTAATGCTGATAACTAACTGCACCGTTCAGGTAAATACTTGTTCAATCTGTCGATTGACAGAATAATAAAAACTTCCTTAATTTAATCACATGCTGAGAAAAGTTCTACAAGCTGACATTTACATGCATATTATGTTGGACAAATGTCTAAATGATCTTTGTTTAAATTGTTTCATGTATTCTTTCAAAGTCTGCTAAACACAGCTTGATTGTTAAATTGATGATAAAGTTTCACATATCGTTCTAAACAAATAGCTGTACATACATGTATGACAAAAGGAGGAAATTCTCCTTAAACTTTTGACACATAGAGAAGCAAGTAGTGTCGTATCAGTGCAAACACTAAGCTACAGAAACTTGTTCAATGAAAACAATAGACACACAAAGTCCTTGTTTAAATCTATAATACATATATGAGGTTTGATTCAAAATACTGTATAATCCCTATTAACCGCCCCAGGCGCTTGGAAAATTACAAAAAAGGGAGCGGTTATTTTGGTATTCTCTATAAAATATTTAATGTCATATTTTAACTTCAAAGAATCTTTTGAAAAAAAAAATAAATAAAAGGAACCACTATAATAATGTCTACTTTTACTTAAAGTGAAGAAAATCCACCAAAATTTTGCTAAATTATTCATTTTCCATTGAGAAATTGAATAATAGACAAGTCTCATTTTCACCTTCTTCAATTTTTTGGTACGATTCTAGTTGGTTTTAATCACTGTACCATGCTGTACAGGGGGCCCTTATTTCCTGACAATTGAAAAAGACTCAATGGGGCATTTATAGGGGCAGGGGCGGTTAATAGGAATTATACGGTACTATCACAACTGCTGAAAATCTGAATTGAGTTATGTAATCTTTAAAAAAAATTTTCTTGCCCCCCCCCCTCAACTGACTACCAATATACCAACTTCATGGGACAATAAGCATAAATTTTGAGGTACATGTCATGAGCATATATCCTTATTCAAAGCTGAACTTTAATATCTAGGACCCTCAAACATTTTTTAGTAATATTGTCTATAAGTACCAGACATACTGTAGAAACACCAATTTTCGTGGGGATAAAATTTCGTTGTTTTGTTATCCACAATAGTTTCGTGGGGATTTAATTTCGTTGTTTTGAAAGTAACCCTATTCAATTTATAATCATATAAAATTTCGTGTGGGATTTAATTTCGTTGATAATTGTTAACAACGAAATAAACGAAATTTAAACCCCCACGAATATTTCTGCTTTTACAGTAGATAAAGTTTTTTTTTTCAAATATATTTCCTAAAAAAATTTAAAATTTTGAGAAATTTGATTGTATATTATTTAGTCAGGTTTGACTGTGTATGATTTTGTTTTATTTGACTGTATATTATGTGGTTTGACTGCCTACATTATCTATTCAGGTTTGACTGTACATTATCTAGTCAGGTTTGACTGTACATTATCTAGTCAGGTTTGTACATTATCTTGTCAGGTGTGACTGTACATTATCTAGTCAGGTTCGACTGCCTACATTACATAGTCAGGTTTGACTGTGCATTACCTAATCAGGTTACACTGTACAATCTCTAGTCAGGTTTGACTGTAGATTATACCTGTATAAGAGTCCCTGAGTATATCTATGGACTCCATCAGTTTGTTGGCTACAGCCTGGTTCAGGGCTCCCAGGACTAGCTCCTGTATCTGGTACGTACAGATCTTCAGGCCTTTCTGGGTCAAAATCTCTCCTTCTGCATTAAAATCTACACCTACAAAGTAGAAAATTAACAGTGATAAATCTACCACTTGTATGTACTGTATTTTCCTTATTTTTTGCAAATGCTTATCATGTCATGAATTGGTCCTTTCCCTTAAATCATGCTTGGAGCTTCTCGGGAAATTATGTGATAATTTTATTCCAGGCCTGATATATTGAGGAATCTACGGTATTATATGTTGATTATAATCATGATTAATTATAACAATAAAAGAAAGGGATACTACATGACAAATAAAAAAGAATATTCTTTATTATAATGTAAGGTGCTTTGTGAAAATGAGACATATAGGTTTGTTGGCTGAAATCAATCAAGCACAAGAAATACAGGGAATCGTTTCCAATGATCTGATACCAGTAACTTTTCTGCAGTGTTAAAAAATCTTGTCTTTTTTGTAATAATAGAATTTTTCACCTTAAACACCAAAAATCAACAAGACTTATGTACTGTAAGCAAGATTCATACATTAGAAAACTCTTTCTACACTGCTTCAAAGTGTCAGGTATAGATGTCAGAGATTTATAATCACTATATGCATATAAATACATGTAGTAAATCTGCAGACCATTTCCTTTACCTAGAAATTCATACTCCTCTGCCTTTTGGATCAGCTGATCCCTCATGCCACCGATTGTCTCAGCGATCATTTTCCTGATTTCATCTCCCTTTTCAACAGCTATAGCCATGAGTTGTTTGTAAAGCTCACTTTCCTTTTCTCTGGCAAACTCTAGCTTTTTCGGGGTAATTAGCATGTCCCTGGCCATGTCAAAGGCCGATATGATAAACATATTGAGACAACGAGCGTGAGAATTGTTTAACACAGTTGATGAGTTCACTAAATACCGCTGAAGAATCTGTTGCACAAACTGTAAGAATTTCTGAGGAAAGAGCTCAAAATTTTCCACAAATTCACTATCAACCTCGTAATAATCTGACGTGATTGTGTGTCGCATGCTTCGGACACCCGGGGAATCATTCAGGTATCCGATTTTACACAATTGTCTAAACACTTCTGAATTGGACTGAATTTTCTGTGTAATCTCTTTTGGCACATTTGTATAATTAGGTTCTGGCATGACCTTATACACGGGTTCATCCACACTAGAACTAAGGCTATAACTGTCTTTTTCCTGAGTTGCTCCCCTTTGTTGCCTCTTCTGGATTTCCTCCTGACTGGTAGGAGCGCCATCTGGTGGATCCAGATCATAGTTTTTCTGACCAGGGGGAGGAACTCTGACAAAGCAGACTGGCTGATAATGGCTGACATTGGAAAGTTCCTTTAATAGCTGTACATCCTGAAAAAGTCAATTCAAATTGAGTTAATCCTGTTTTGATAACTGTACTTAAAACCATGTAGTTAATTTATAAAGAATATCTCAATTTAATTTTAATTAAGTTGATTATATTTTTGACAGTTTTTAATTTGAATCTTTAACCATCCTTTTCCATGCTACTTTGTACATGTATCTTCTAGTTATATAGCTCCCAAATTCACCCTTCTACAGCTATTTTTAATAAATTTCAGATTGCTCTAGAAGTTTAAAAAAAAATCAAGAATAAACAATTTAACACTGTACAAATGGTACATCAACTTGCATTTATCGTACCAAATAGGTCAGAAAAACTAGCAAAGAAAAATAGGAAAACCCGACCTTTTCTGGTAGAGTTTCATCCTCGTAGCAGTAGATAAGTATGGGGGAGACTTCCTCTACACAGTCAGTGTAGACACGCCTTATATCACAGTTAGGGGAGGAGGGGGACACGATCACCCTGGCTCCATGCCGGAGGAGCACGTGATTCAAATTCACCTCCAACAAAGCGAGTCCCAGAGCCGTGTCCCCAATCTCATTATCGTTTATCTCTAAATCCTTTCTCGGAATCGTCTTCCACGGTCCTTTATATGACTCCAGATTATCCACAAGATCGTAATCATCCGGAAGTTGAAGACTGACGGATAAATTGTGTCCATGTTTAAATCGCACCATGCGGTAATTGCCATTTTTTTCAGATTCACTGTACTCGAGAGGGAAGAGACTTCGGTTGAAGATTTCGTTGATGAGGCGGCCTTTGGTGTAGATGTTCTGACCCAGGATCACGATTCCCGGAGGTTTGGTGGCTGTTGACATGACCTCCTCCTCTTCCTCTTGGAGAAGTTCCACCGTAAATAATTGTCCTGAAAATATACAGTAAATTGTTTTTACACATTGAATAAGAAATGTATAAATATAAAATTTTTAAATAACTGTGAAGTTTAAGTTATACGTACATCTGTGACAGAGAGAAAAAAATATTACTTTGATTTTTTTAAAAAATTTATTTGACACCACCTATCATGTTTTTTGAGTTAATTTTACAGTATTAAACAGGTATTAATACATTATTTAAAGGTCTGCTATAGCCATTTCTTACTGTTAAATGACTTTTTTCTCCTCCAATATTTGATAAATTTAAAAGCTTAATTAGGTAAATTTTATGCTTATGACTAAAAAATAAGAAAAATTAACAGTAAAATATTCTTCACTTTTATTAATATATGGATAGTATTATCATGATTATGATGATTATGATTCAACATCATCATACACCATGTTTACATCAAATTTGAAGAAAAATGTTTAAAGGCTTAAATTCTGTCATCTTTAAAAAAAAGTTTAAACATGGTAAATGTAAATAAAAGTAGCTAGATTTAATGTATAAAGTAAACAAATGAAATTTATTGAGTATAACCAAGAATGACATTGTTTAGATTAGACTTCTTATAATGAACATATATTTCATATAATTGGAAGCATGAAGGCATTCATAACATTTGGCCTTCAATTCTCAAAACAATCTATTTTTATCAAAGTAATTTCTGAAAAAAAAAAATGATTGTTTCAATATGTTCAATTTTCATGATTATTTTTCATTTGAATCTATAGAATGCTGCAAGTAAATTATACATGTATATCATTGTTGATGAAAATTAGACCCCTCAGAGTGTTAAATGTTAATTCAACTTGTGTGCAGTGACTGTGTGTCCTAGCTTGCAGATGATTTAAAAATCAATTTTACATGATTTTGAAATATTAATATTTTTTCCCCAACTTAAATCTGCAAATTTTTTAACACTTACATTGTAATCTTTATTAAGACAAAATAATTTCTGTAATAATAATAATAATTCATGTAAACATGGTTATGAACAAACATTAATCATGTGACACCCACAAGCATTTCAGACACATTTTAAGACTTTCACTAATTACTGTATTGTTAGAGGAGTAGATCAGAACTAAATCTAGAAAACATCTAAAGTCTGATCTGAATATATCCCTGTCATAAGGTTTAATATAAGGATTATATGTAAACCTATAGAGTCACAAGACCTTCATGGGCCCCCAGTCATGAATCTAATTCCATTAGCAAGGTCAAGATCCGAACTATAAGAGTTCACTATGCAATTCATTAAAAGGTTAGAGATATAAACGTGTATAAAATGGAGAAGTTGAGTAAAACAAAGGAACGTCGTGTGAGTGTCACGAGTTCGTCTGAAGACAGCGATAACCTTGAAAGATTCAGGCTGCATCAGATTTTAGGGAAAACGAAATGTTTATCTAAAATCACTTTAAGCTTTCTTTTCATATCTGCACTTTCTTTTTTAAACATCAAAAGAATTCAAAGTTGATGGTAATGATTATAGATAGAATTTTAATTTGGTATGTTAAGGATGACATGCTTTCTAAAGAAATGCAATGCAGTATATTGTACTGTAGCTCTACTCTTAAATGTTAACAGATTTATCAATAAGACAGAAAAACTTAATGCTTATGTATATAATAGCATATAACATTACAAGAAATTTGATATTTCTTATCAAAAGATTGAAATTTTCTGCACCACTTGTTGAATATTTTTTTTTTCAGTCAAACACAATTTAAACCATGACGATTTGCATATTAAAATATAAAAATTCATGTTGCATGTCTTTAGTAAGCATCCACCCTTTAAATCAAATCTGATCCAAAAAGTGAATTAAATACAAATCAAAGAAAATTTATTATTTAAAAAAAATATATATAGCAATCAAAATTAGTGCATGCATGGCCCCAACAAGACTTAACATTCTATCTACATATAGCAAAGATAATATAGTCACCTAAATATTATCCTGATTTAACATTCAAAATTATTTTTATTTACATTTCTGTTTATGAATTTATTAATTTTATTCATTGAGAAAGCTAGGATGTGATATATGTGAAAAATTTTACTACATAATTTATTTAATCATAAGGTACATTATCAACCTCATTTTAAATATGCCCCCCCCTATTTTACACATTTCTTAAAATCTTACAAAAGCACACTCATTTAGGCAATTAATATTTTATTTTTCTCCTTTAATCATCACCCCAGACTCACCCCAATTAAATCACCTTTGATGCTTACTCAGCTGAATTTGGTACTTTAAAAATAAACATTTTCACCTGTGACCCTCTCAATCACTCATACAGGTAAATAACCTTCCAAGGTTTATTTGACTCATGAACCTGAGCTGTCTAGCATGGTGTCATATTATACATGTATATCAATAACCTGAGAATAAATCTACTACCTTCAAATGTCTGTAGTCTACAGTGTAGGTACCAATCCATTCTATTTTTTAATGTATTCATGTTTAACATGTACATACGATGTTTTCCAGCAGTCATTTATGTTTATTTTGCCAAAAAACACTTTCCTATAATAATTGCCAGTCAGTAACTGTCAACAAAAAAAAGCTTGGAGAGGACAATAGAATACTACATTATGGTCACTGAACTCTCTATATAAATGAGGATAAAAGTAAGGAACACAGTCAGCTATATTTTTATTTCATTCATCATATTTCAGGTACATATTTAGACAGGTATAACTAGAACACACAGTGATAAGGTATCATATGACAACGAATGCGGTGGTCAAAAAGGCTAATGACTGAGTGTTCACAGATCAAGTTGATAGGGTTAACAAATTTTGTCTGGTCTGAGGTGCAACTGTATATTCAAATTATGATGACATTTCCATTTTTTTTTTGGACAAAATTGTCCATTGTTTCCTCTTCTGAAATTCAAATACCCCTGCCTGGCTTAATTCTAAAATTATTTCTCAATCTACCATGTTTACTAAACACATGTATGAAAATTAGAACTTTGAATTCTAAATCATTACTATGTGTACTAAGTGGACAATTTTTAAAGTATACTAACAGACTTATGATGCAAAATTTCACCAAAACTTGTTTTTTTTATTTGACAGTTGTTAAAGGACAAGTAATTATGCCAGCAAGTTAGAGTTATCTCTCTTTATCAGAGGGTAAATGTACCTTAAACTTGACAGGCCTAATATTTCTAATTTGTTGTTTGTTGCTATAATATTTTGTTTTCAGTGTCATTTATATTTTTTAGGTACAGTCTTAAATAACTGAACCATGCACTTTTAGGCAAGGAATCACCCTAGAGAATTATTTCAGGAATCATACATAGAAAAATAAGGGTCCAAAAAATATGATTGACTTCCTTCCTTCCCTATAATCAAAGGTAGCTGGGCTAAATTTCTACTGAGTGGGTATGAAGAGCCTTTCTTTCTATCTATACATGTATATATTTGTCCCCTATTTATTCATGAATAACTTGGTTCAATTTTAGTGTTAAACAAAGGACAATAAAGACATTACAAAACACCCCGACAACTAACTTAGTGTAAAGAATTAAGTCAACTTTGAAGTTGGTGAATTTACAAAAGTGGTTACAGACATTTAATGTAGAGTTAAAATGATATTTCAGCTTTTCAACATAATGCTTCATATTTGCTTTTGATTCTCATGCAATCACATACTGACAGAGGTTATTTTTAAAATAATTAAATATAAAATAATGCTTCCTTCCTGATTAGGTAGAGAGTAAGTCCTTTTTTTTTTATCAATGAGAAAAAAATAATAATCAACTTCATTCTGCAGATGCCTCAGCAAGTGTTGTGGTTTAATATGGTTTACACGTGTTACAGACAATTAACAAGATTAAGCCCTTCAGACAAACATGATAAGAATTTACTCATAAATTAATTTGAATATTGACCTGTCAAGAAGTGTAAAAATAACTGTATTTCATTATTCAAATTTATTTTTGGTTATAAAGAAAAAAGGTCAGTGTATCAATTTTGATTGAAAATATAATTGTATCAATTAAATAATATTTTATCAATTAATCAGGGCAGTTAATATAGAAGAGATTAAAAAGATATTATAAAACATGATAAATGAGAAGAGAATGAACCTGCATTCAAAATAATATTCCTTTTTCATATTTTTTTAACCACTGAGTCAGACAATGACTGCCTATGGCCCGCCAGAATGAATCTTATTATAACTATATATACAAACCTTTGAAGGTTATAGTCATTATAGTATTAAATCATGATAACAAAATCAGAATGTGAGAAATTAAAAGAGTAATTAATAACAAATTAACAATAAATATTTTACAGCTATATTGACAGTTAAATGTTCAAAAACCATGGTGCTGCATTGAACATTAATATTGGATATTTTTATAAAGATGATTTGAGTTTTACTTCAAAATCAAAGGTTTTTTCATTGCTGTGATTGATTGTAGATATTCTTTGCTCCTAACTGCTTTGGCCTTCATGCATATTTTGGTCTGTACGGTTAACCTTCCTCGGTTTGAAATCATTTACTCTTTATCATCTGAGCCCAAGGTTGGTCAACGCAAACAACTGTGCATGCAATGTACATGCCATATAACATTAATTTTATCTGTTATTAATAAGAAATATGAAAAATCTGGTTATTTAGCAAGGTTAAAAAAGAGACTCAATGCTACTGCTTCTCTTTATTTAGATATCATTGAAACTGAGACTTGCAATGGATGAAGAGTTATAAATTAGAAAAACTTAAAATTTGAAATATCAAAAACTGGATTTAATAATGTCAAGTGACATTTCCATTCCTGTATTGAAATAAAATTAAAATGTGTTAAATCATAGGCACACAATGTTAAACTATTTTCATTCATAACAACCTAAGCCATGGTGAACAAAGTGACTGAAAACAAACTATAAAATTCCATTTGATCACATATTAGAAAAATAAATTCTATTGTTTGCACTTTGTAAGTGACATTTCTTTGGCGTTGATGCACCCTTGAACATGTGTCAACAGCATGAAAAAAAAAATGAAATGGTTTTTAACTTTCATTTTCAACTCACCAACTTCGTGTCTCCCATCCTCGTTTATATCATTAAAACATCGCTTTGTATCACTGAGAATCGTTTTGAGGCGTTTTGTGCAGTTACAGAAACGATTTAATTCCGCGGGAATATTAGCCATCATAATGGAAGGACCTGAAGACCCCAAATTTGTCCAGGAAATCACTCATTTCAACACCATGGCATCATCTTCGCATTGTAGTGGTCTCCATCTGAAATGGATTTATCGTTCCTTAATATTAAGGCCAAGGTTATTTATTTTTCCGTTTGGCCAAATATTAATTACATTTGGTTCTTGAAAATGATTTACAAATCACAGTCTTCATATACACTGAAATTAATCATTATGATTATATCCATTCACAAATAATAATGAAAAAACAAACAGTTCCTTTCAATATTTTAGTGTAGGCTCTACAAAAAACGCAGAGTTCATTGCCACGCCCCTTCCGACCTATTGTACTTTCGATCACGTGCATTTGTTTACTTCCGCTAAAACAGAAACTACAAACAATAAGGGGGAAGGGCATGAACTTAGTTATTTTTTACACGTGACAGGAATAAAAATGGTAAAATTAAACGAATTATTATGATAGAATTAAGAAACGTGTGCAACATTGTTGCTGATGCTGCGAATTATGTATCAAGGCGGAGGCGTGAAAGACGCCTCCCCTCAACAGCAAAAGATAGTGGTAAGTTTTGGGGTGGATAACAGTACAATGAGTAAGATGTAACTATTTGGTAACTTAAATACTATAATTGTGCTTTTAAAAAGATATCTGTAATAAACGTAGATTATATACTTTTTCACCTGACAAAAAATGATTAGACAACAACCCCCCACCTGCAACACCTCCCCAATGTAATTTATATTAAACTGTTTTAATTTGGAGATTTCATAATAAAGTTTTGTTTCATTACATATGTACTTTTTTACTATTTGAGTGTCATTGTAGAGCACCCAAGAATTTTGAACCAAGAGAAGAACGGAATAATCCTGTTTACCTGGGACGATGTCACACAAACAAGCAAGGTGGAGTGAAATTTATCACAAAATATAAAACAATGGAAGGCAGAAATTATTTGCTGGGTGGTGAATTCCAGGTGAGGGAGGGGCTTATTTTATACAGGTGTGAATTCCTTGGGTGCTAGCAGTCTACCTGTGGTCATTTGTCTCCTAATCCCTACACACAGGAAGCAATTTAATACAGTTAATACCCAGGGGTCAAACTTTACCTGTGTTGGGGATTTTGAGACAATTTCTAAATTAGAAATAAAAAATTGTAGGCCTAAGTAAACATGGTAAAATTTAGTTTTTCTCAATAATCTTATATTGTTTTGTGAAAGAACAAATTGAAAAAAAAGCAGTAAAATTAGATGAAATGGTTTAAACATACAAGTCATGTCACTATGTTTAACAGGAGAGGAGAAAATGCAGCGGAGCAGACTGGGATTCAAACCTGGGCCCCCTGAATCTCCAGTCAGGTGCTCTACCAAATGAGCTATCTGGCCACCCGCAATCTAACCTAGCTGAGCACTACATTTCTCCCTCCTTAATGATGTTTGGTCCCTCAAAGACCCCAACCCAGGCTCATCCTGGCCACGGCACCAAATGTAATGGGAGATTCAGGGGGCCTGGGTTTGAATAACGGTCTGGTCCTCTGCATTTTTCTCCTCTCCCATTACATATGATATGATTTATATGTAATATAATTTTGACAATGTTTTTGTCTTAAATTGATTCAATTAATCTTTCAGGGAGCCATATGTACCCATGTAGGATTGTATGACCCAACAAAAAAATCACATGAGGTAACCATATATACATGTATTTTTTAAATAAAACAATTAAAATCACATGGAAATTTTAATATTAATTTCAATTTAAGCTTTTGTAATTCATTACAGTCATTATGTATAACAATACTTTAATGAATAGAACTGTAATTCAATTTCTTAGTGTTTTATTAACATGTATAAGATATTTAAAATCACGTGGTAAAATTTTATGTATACAAATTTTCAATTTAAGCTTTTGTAATACAAATGTACGGCATATATATGACAGTCCTATCCGCGTAATTTTTAATGCGGATTTAACAGAAATTTTCCGTGGAATTAATGGAAAAACTTGTAAGGTATACAGTATATATCAAAGAAATCAATGTGTATTGTGTACAAAGCTAAGGCCCAAATATCATATACATGATACAGTATAAGAAAAAAAATCTTACAATTGTAGGTGATTTGGGTTTACAATCAGAGGGCCAGAATAGTTTCCTGTTCCTTAAACCAAGGGAGGTCACTCCTAGGTAGACAACACATCCTTAAATTTGACATGCTTTACAAATTTAAGACAAAAAAGATGAAATAAATATATATGCATGGAAATACATATAATATTTGGGGGGGTGGAGGAGGTAAATTTGTTTTGAGCATTAAAGTTAAGCAGCAAAAAATTTTAGTCTAAGACATATTCATAAACAAACATTAAATATATATCATTGAGAATGATTGTACATTATATATATAAATGTCATTTCAGCATTCACAGTAATTGGCAGGGATGACTCTTTCACAGCCAAAATTCCAGGCAAAGGTTTGTTCTAGATATTTTTAAAATTTTACAAGAAGAGTTCTTGCTTTTGCTAATGGAATAAATCTTTTTATTTCCTATCTAGCTTGTAACACGAGCTTTGATTGGTTACAAAGTCGGGTGTAAATATCCGTGCACCCGACTTGAGCCGGGTGTAAATAAAACGTGACGTCACAATGTATACATTCTCTATGATAAAAGCTAAAAATCATGTTTACAAAGCATTTTTATGGGTACAAAGGAAATAAATTCGTTTCCAGGTCCAATCAAGGGTGTACGGTTATTTACCCCGGGTTGTATTTACACCCATCGGCCTTCGGCCTCAGTCCCCGTACACCCTTGATTGAACCTGGATAACTAATAGTATCCAAATGATTCAAAAAAGATCATTTTTGATTTTTTTATTCATTCTTTAATTTTGGATTGTTTGTTTTTAATTTAGTTACTTTGAATTCTGTTAATTAAATTATATGTTTTCTCTGATATATGATTGAATATGTAACTAGAAGTACTAGTTTACCCATTACTTTTCCTTTTTTCAACACAGAAACTATTCTTAAGAACGATATATACTCTGTTATAAAGTCAGTTGTCACTTGTCAGTTGTCTTATTTTTAGATGTCTACAGTGTGTTCCTGGCAGAAACTCAGGCTACCAGCACCCGAGTTTTCTCCCTTAACCTGGAGCGACAACACTTTATAAAGGTCCAGTTTTTGTATGACAGCCAGACATCTGACCGCGAGTCTCATCTAATGGTCATGCTGCACAGGGAATGTAAGATTATTTGTACACAAATCAAAATTTTACCAATATCTGAATAGAGACTCACAGTGTAAAATGTGTTGCATTATGAGTGTTTATTATGCTACATATGAATATCATGCTGTATTGTGAATTAATAAGAACATATCAGTTATCCGGTCCAATCTTGATATTGAACTGTAAATCATTTATGATTACATTTGTCTTTTCTATTCTTAGCTGTTGGACTGTATCATATCAGGCTAGGCAGAGTTGGGGAGAAGGGGGTGGTACGTACACTGTCCATACACTCAGGAGATTATGTGTTCCTCTCAGCTATACAACTGTACTAAGAGGCTGCCTTGTTTGATAACAACCTTTCATGAAAGACTTCTTAATTGTTCTCAGTGACAAACATTTTCTTGTAAAAGACTTAATTTCCTCACCTAATTTAAATTTGTGCCTAGCTTAGTTCAAAATTTGACTTCAAACAATTTTTGAATTTTTCAAACTTCAGAATTGATTAATTAATTAAGAATGTTTTTAAGTTTAGTGTGAATTATTGGTGTGTGAATCACACAGACTTGTCACGTAGGCATGTTTTGCGCATCATGAAAAATATGCCTACATGCAAGTCCGTGGGATTTACACACCAATAATTCACACTGAACTTAAAAACATTCCTTATATTTACATTTTCCACGTCTTAAAGCATAAAAAATATACTCAATATTTGAATTTCTCGCTGCCCTATATGGAAATACTTTTACTAACGTCGATGTAGCCTTATAGTGACGTCACGTTAACACACGTATCTCCGTGTATATTTCTATGCGTTAGTATACAAGAAAATGGTTTTCAAATCAATTTCACTGTTGGCTTAGTAGAAAAATACAGCGAATGTAAACACTCCCTTATAAATACAGGTATGATATTCCATATTCCTATACATGTCCATGTCTATATATACAATGTATTTACATGTAGGTGATGAGGGACCAGCCAAAGACTGAGCAGTTAATTAAGCGTTTTTTCTGGTGTCAGTGGGACGTGCTTCACCAGAGACTGTACTACCTCCAGTACGTCAAGCGCGGGGAGGGGGACAAGGCCCGCATCACCCCCAATGTCTCCTGTATACAGTTCTACCAGAACAGCCAGCATGATAACATTGTAAGCTGAGGATTTCTGTACTTGTACAATTTCAAACTTGTTCAAGGATGAATGTTCCTTATGCTCAGTAAATGACATTATTTTCATTTTATGTTTTTTTTTTATTTCAGCTGGATATACCAATAGAATTTCCTTTCCCACACATAAAGACTAGCTCAAAGTATGTTTTTTTTTGTATTCTTCTTTTGCATGCCTTTACAAAAGACTGATCTTCTCATATTTTCCTCTTTCTATGTGTAGTGTATACATGTAGTACATGTAACAAAAAGATTGTATTGTAGTTGAATGCCCCCCTTAGAAGAAGGGAGGGTGTATTGCTTTCCTGCTGTCTGTCAGTCAGTCCACCAACATGTACAGTTTCTGTTCATTTTCTTTCGCCAAAGTTGCACTGAATTTATACAGATTTATCATAAGAATATCTAGAAGAAATTCTGTTTTGGGCATACTCAAGAAATTTCTGACAGAGTTATGCCCCTTGGACTTAGTAAAAATTCATTTGCAGTTTCTGAATATTTTTTTTTTTTTTTTGCAGAGGTTGCACATATGAAATGAAATTTGGTATACAGATCATTTATCATGATATAAATATCTAGGTCAAGTTCTGTTGGGTATGATCAAGCAAACCCTGTAATGTACGTATGTCCAAAGAGGTGGGGGTATTAGTGTTTCACAAACATCTCGATCTTCATTTTATTTCAGTGGTTATGATTATGTTGTGTTATTTTAAAACAGATTTCATTATTCAAGTGATCATTTGGATTGTGGAATTCCTGGTAAGTATATTTTAATTTTTGCCAAAAAGTCTTTGGATAAATAAGAAATTAAAACAAAAACTTACATAACATCTGACATTGTTCCACATGTGCACTCTCTTCTACCATCTACTGTAAACCAACTATAATTATTCCCATCATCTTTTATTCAGGATTCATCAGTTTTCAATCACTCCACAACGATAAATTTTTGCGACTTAAGTAAGGAAACATTTTCTAGCAATATATAGAAAAGAAATGGTTTGCAGCGATTAATAGAGTTAAATTTGGTCGCGAAATTTGCAAATGTTTCTCCCACGTGAATAAATGTTGGTTTACAGTTTATTCCTGAGATAGTCACTGTGCTTTATTTGTACTTATCAATGGTGATTAAAGGAATAACTATTTCTTCTAAGAGTACATGTACAGTGTACTTATTATACCAAATTGTAAGTGATAGTCAAGATTCATTTTGTTGTTATCCCACAGATTCATATCTCAATATGGTTGTGCTTACATTGGCCAATGGAACATTTTGCATCTGTTACCAAAAGATGTCCTCACCTTACACAGTAGATAGACGGTCACCGGTCAAACGGGCCAAGGTATCGCCCGGTCCTGTAAGTCTGTATAGATCATATTATTTATTACTCAATAAAATGGATTCTTCAAATTGTTGTTGCACTATGTATTTTACAAATTATTATTTCTCTTTTATATGTTCTCAGCAGATTTATTGAAGTACAAAGTGAATTTTAAATGATATTGATTCATGTAACAATTAATTAAAGATTTTTTATCACAGGTGCTTGTTTCATAGAATATGATAATTTACTACTATCCAATGTACTCTAAATTTTAGGCACACCTTATTTTCGCAAGATAGTCATTGACTCTTTATTAGCAAGACATAATTCTCACGTATTGTTTTTTTTTTTTACTACCTATATACATGTAATCATAAGGAATACTTTTGTACATACATGTATGCGAGAATGAAATTTTTGTGAGCTCATTGTCTTGCATAATAACGCAAATTTAAAATAAAAGTTCATGTGAATAAAAAGTGATTTACAGTAGCACAACAGTAGTAAATAAGGCAGCGTACTAAATGAAACAAGCATCTGTGTTCTTAATGCATGCATGCATATACAGCTGGAAAAGAATTTCTGTAGGTATTATAGTTACAGTTTACAAAAATGTTTTTTGCCATTTTTAACAGAACCCCTCACCCCTGAGTGCCCATAGTTTATCAGAATCTGATGAAGAGACTGTTGACCTTAATTACTATATTTGTATGGTGCATCACGGTATGTTAAAAATAATTTAATAAATTATATTGTAGACTATTAAAATATCATTGACATTTAAATTACCAAAGAATTATTTTACATGTATATTCAACTTTACTTCAGCTACAAAATTATAGTCACAACTATTTATTATTATGTTAGTTTGCAAGAATCATAGTTATAACAGTAACTGTATAAAGTTAATTATATACATGTACTACAGTGTAGTATATCAGAGATTCATGATCATTGCAAGCTTACACAAATATTAACTGTGCATACTAGTAAACTATGTACAGGATGTAACATACTTATTAGGGAAAACTAAGTTAAGTTAATTTGTACATAATTATATTATCAATTAAAGTTAACATCATTAATTTTATAGCCAAAACTCTGCATGGTTGTGTAACTGGGCTTCCATATTCCCGCAAATACAGACTTCACTTTTCCTGGCATGGTTAGTTGGAATATACATATACATGTATATATGTGCTTAATACACATCCATGAGTGTGAGATAATTGAAGAAGACACTGATGGACACACTGGTTTATTTTCCTCACTGCCAGTGAAATTCAGTAAGAAAATAAAAAAAAATATTCATGGAATCCTTTTGAAATTTCTTTGCTTCTTCACAGGAGACTATCTGATGGTGCTGTTGCCCGGCCATTTTGTACATCTTCTCAATGTTGGAATTGAATTTGAACCCTGTCAACATATTCTTCTTCACGGTAAAACTGAATTCATTATTAAACTTTTGAGTGACATTTCACTACAAGCTAATTCACTACTGAATGGGAGATATATCTTGCATCAAATACTGTTATGAATTGGAGATGTTTATTTCAGAACGCAGTATCCATGGAAACATCACTTCTATACATAATAGTGGTGACAGTGGTGTTACCATGGTTACAGGAAGTGGGGATTCACATGACACTTCTGCAGCAGCCATTTTGGATGTGTGTGTATTGTCACCAGCTGCAGAAAAATTAAACAACCTGTCCAACAGTTGTTTATATGAAATACAGAGAGATTCTCCTATGGGTATGTTTAAGATTATAAAGACAACCATGTGAACTTTTTTAACAAATTATTTTATATAAAAGCTATACATGATAATTAAAATTGATTGTTTTTGAAACTAATTACTAATAGTACCGGCAGGCTTTTGAATTTAATTCAACTGTGATCATATATATAAATTATTCTGAAAATTGAATCAAATTATATTTAAATATTAAACTTTATTAACAAAATCACCTACTCTACAACATGTTTCTAAATCACATGACTGTTAATTTTATTTTTAGAAAATAAAAATTAAAGTAAATTTACAAAAGCTGGCTGTATACATTTTAGTCCAGTTAATTTGTATCATAATTTGCATTCATTGTATCAAATTGTAACTCCCAAATTTACTTCCCAAGGAACCTGTTTCTATGACAACAGTAGCGGTGAGGTGTGGAAGGTCCACGTTAACATGGAGACGTTAATCCAGGTGTTTGTCCACTGTTACATGTCCACCACCAGGGCGGCGCTGTTACATTACGTACTGACCAGGACCCGTGACTTCTTCCTCATCAAAAGGGTCAGTTGTAGAAGATAATTAATTTTTAGCAATTATAAGCTTCATTCTAGATTCTCTGCATTTAGACAGAAATGCATGTAGCTTCAACCTTAGATGTTCTTGGGGAAAAGATAAACTCTGCTAAATTATATTTGCACAAAGAAATTACTATCTTTAAGAAATATATTGGATGCACAATTCATATCAGTTACATGGGCAGAAACGTATACATCACCTGAAATTTTGAAAATGCAAAGGTTGCACTTCTGTTATAATACAAGTAATTATAATAGGCTTAAATTGCATTTTTGCTAGTTTAATTGTCTTGGGTATTGCTCAAGTCTGTGTTTGTATTTGTAGCTCTTTGAAATGCTTAGCAATGACATACCAAGTAGTGAGGTACCTGCACTAATGGCCGAATTTCTTATTGGTCAGTATAGCTACAAAAAAAATTTGCTTATCTCTTATTGGACTTTTACAAGAAGCACTGACTTTGACAGTTGACTGTTAACTTGGACATTTAAATCTGTATTATCTACGGAGGTACAGAATTGATAGTGGATAAGAAGACCTTTCTAGTGGTCATAGTAAGGAGTTTAGGGGCAATAACATGAGAAGGCTGGGAGTTGAGGGTAGGATGGTTGTGTTTTTCTTCAAGGACAACTTATATGTGCTTTGAAAGAGCCCGTTATTTTTGTTAAATAAAATGTTGAGCTAAATATTTTTATCGCAAAAGAGCTTCCGTACACTATCCTATTGTAAAAGTTAATTCGTCATCTGTAATAGCCAGTGCTTAAATTCTCATAAAAGTCCATTGGTCAGTGTAATTGCATGCTTATATCTCTTTGGTTAATACACACTTATATCTGAAAATAATTGATTTCTGAACTCTCATTGGTTAGTTTATTGTAAGTATAATGTTCTCTATTTATTTTTCTCAAAGTCACCACCTACTCCAGTATGAGGCGACAGTTTGACAGAGAAATCCTGAAGCTTGTTCCTTTTACTGCTTCTGACACATTCAGGGGACAATTTGAGAAGGTAAGGTAAACCAAGTACTTTTTCATATTAGATTAACATGGTACTTAAATTCAGCATTTAAAATTTAGTAAAATTATATCTTTATTTTCAACTGATTATTAACACATTTTTTAAATTACCACAACTGAATCTAGAAAATGGCAGGCAAAAACTGAAATGTATAATGGCTTGTACTTGAAAATTTGGACAATGAAGCAAGCAATAATTGATTGATGCATGGCAGGAAAACATCTTAGTCTTTCATCGTTATGATAAAGTTGACTTATAGTTTCTGAATCTCCTAGAGCTATGAAGGGGAGAGAATTGCCCGGATATCCTATTCCCCGTTGGTCTGCGTGAACATAGCCTCTAAGTCCGCCAAGGACAGGACCCGTAAACAAGGCAGCGTGGGAGACGACCTCTGGGATATTCTGAGACATCACCTGCGCTGGATGCAGATAGAGGAACTCGTACGATTCTCCCACAAATCTGTGAAAACGCTGATGGAAGCAAGAGCCCAGAGCAGAAATAAGGTACTGATACATGTAGATTGCAAAGTTAAATTCTTTTTTAAATACACCGTACATGCAATTAATAATGCTAGAAATAAATTATGTGGTGTCAGAATTTCTCAAAAGTTACTTTCATAAAACAGTATTTGTCACTTTTGAAGAGCAGCAGAGATGAGAAAAATTAGAATCAGATTTAAAGGGGCATAACTCTGAGATATTTCTGATTTCAGAGGTTTTGTGAAGAAAAAAAACCTGATAGATTATTTGATATTGAAAGGGCCTAATTTTCAAAGACAGATTGTAGTAATTTTAAATAACTAACTGTTGAATTTTATACTTGTTCTTACTTAATGATGCTCAATTTATAACAGGAAGGAGCTGGCCAGGGTACCAAGTCAGAGGACCAGTTTTTCTTTTCCTCCCTCCATGGGCACAAGTCAAGATCAAATAGGTTTGTATAAACTTAAGATAGATTAATAAGACCATCTCTCAAAATCAGAGTCATCTTTATTATTCATTAGAATATACATGTCATTGATTAAGAAGTTGGATAGTTTGGAATACCTGAGGAGGCTTTGTGGTAAATAATTATAGATAACTCATTGAGATAAAACATAATAATACACTTTAAACACTTTGCTCCACAAGGTACAAAAATGTAGATTATTGATTAATTTCCACTTTATGCATATAAAACATTATATAAAACATTATTATTTATTAACCTCTTCTCTGTCAGATGGGAGATAAAGTATACAAAATAGCCATGACAATTTAATCTCATAATCTGAATTTTGTCTTATGTGAGTGTCACTGAATTGTACTTTTTTTCAGATCGGAGTCCCCGGCCCCTGGAACCACAACATTCAACAACAACATGAAGCGTGTGAGGCCAGACACAGTGTTAGGGACAGCTCCACCATTTCTACAGGGAAACAACATCTCCAAATGCTCAGAAACGGCTATGGATATGGTAATTATTTTTTGTTTTAGAAAAAATAAACACTGTGATATAAGGAAATAACTGAAATTTGTTTTCTTTGCAATGCAGATCTTATTATTGAGTAATTGATTTCATTTATTCCAGACTAAAGAATTGTTCACCACTCATTTAAACAAGTATTTAAGGAAAGAAGCGAGGTCAAAAGGTCATTCAGTTGCCAAGGAATACATAGCTTGTCAGGTAAGAAAGAATACTTAACCTTCTAGATACAACATTAGTCACTATGATCAAAGAAATATTGTTAAAAACATGTAGTAGGAAAGGAGGAATGCATACAGAAAATATATGGCTTGTCCAGGAATCAAACCTGGAACCCCAGCGTTGATGTTCTACCACTGTCAGCTACACAGGCCAATATCCATGGTCTGTATATGGCTCAGAATGTCATCCTTACCATATTTTTGTTGATTTTTAGCTCACCTCAACGAAGTTGGGGGAGCTTATGTAATACCCTCGGCGTCGGTGTCGGCGTCAGCGTCGGCGTCCGTGTCGGCGTCGGCGTCCCAGGTTAAGGTTAAGTTTTTTGGAGCAGTTTTCTTTTTAAGTACTTTTATGTCCTATATTGATTAGACATGCATGGAAGATGGTTCTACTGTGTTTCATTGTACCATTCAAAGTTTCAGATGCTGCAGTTTCAGCAAAGGAATGACCAGGTTAATGTTTTTGGAGCAGGTTAACATTTTTGGTGCAGTTTTTGGTGTAGATTTCATTTCCAAGTTACTATAAGCCTTATGTTGACCAAACTTGCATGGATGATACATCTAAGGATGGATACTACCAGGCTTGCTTCGGATGCTGAATCTGACCTACATTTTCCAGTTGAGTGAACAGGTTAAAGTTTTTTGCAGGTTTCATTTGCAAGTAACTTTAAGCCCTATGTTGACCAAACTTGCATGCATGATACATCTAAGGATGAATATTTCCGGGCTTGCTTCAGATGCTGCATCTGACCTACATTTTCCAGTTGAATGAACAGGTTAAAGTTTTTGGTGCAGGTTTCATTTGCAAGTAATTTTAAGCCCTATGTTGACCAAACTTGCATGGATGATACATCTAAGGATGCACACTACTGGGCTTGCTTCGGATGCTGAATCTGACCTACATTTTCTGGTTGAGTGAACAGGTTAAAGTTTTTGGTGCAGGTTTCATTTCCAAGTAACTATAAGTCCTATGTTGACCAATCTTGCATGGATGATACATCTAAGGATGCATACTACCAGGCTTGCTTCAGATGCTGAATCTGACCTACTTTTTGTGGATGACTGAAAATGTTAGTTTTTAATACATGTTTCATTTCCAATTAACTATGAGCCCTATAATGAGCAAACTTGCATGGACGATACATCTTAGGATGCACACTAATGGACTTGCTTCGGATGTTGAATTTGACATACATTTTTCAGATAATAGACCAGGTAAAAGGTATGGTTGCAGGTCTATTACCAAAAACCTATAAGGCTCATATAACATAGTATAAACCGAACTTGCACAAATGTTGCATCAAGAGATGAAAATCTCAAATTTGCTTCAGATGCTGGATTTTGATTACATTTTCATTAAGAAGAACTAGTTTAAATTTTTTATGTAGGTCTATTTCAAAGTATCAGATCAAAATTGCTTAAATATTTTCATTTTTGGAATGTACACTTTTTTTTTGGTTAATTGTGTGACTTTGCCTTACTTAAAGACAACATTCGTTGAGGTGAGCTCTGTAATCTCTGATTACCTATGTTTTGATTTTCAGATACAGCAGTCCAGACAACTCTGTCATCTCCTGTGGAATCTTCGAGGTCCTCTCCTCCCCTACACTGACTTAGACTTCCTACCTAACCTGTGAGTGTTATTTTTTTCTTCCCTGCACTGACTTAGACTTCCTTCCTAACCTGTAAGTGTTCCTGTTTTCGTCATTTAAAGGAAGATCCCTTTATCTGATGATAAGATGGTGAATTGTGTCTGTTTAAGGTCTGATATTGACATACTGTAAAAGTGATCCAGAACTTTGACAATCTGGAAAGAAAAAAAGATGAATTTTCTATAGTCATCAAAGTTTCCATTTTACATTTCCGTTTAAGAGTAATGTAGAATATAATTTATAATGTTATTAGATAGTCAGAGTTTTCCCTCATCTTTTCAAAATTACATCCAAATAATCGAACTTTTAACCCTTTCAAATAGCAATTTCTTTTTTACAGTTTTGCATTTCGGTAAATGCTTAAAGTTCCATCTGTAGTTGCAAATATGTGTAGCCTCTTTTAATAACTGAACCTTTTTTTTTTGGTAGAACTGACCCATCGTCTGATGATGAGTACGAATTGTTCCAGCTGTTTGAGAGATATTATCAGACATGCCAGGATTTATCATTCCCTCTTCCTCAAGGTATGTAGCTTTATAGGCAGATCTGGTCATGTTTGTGTGTGTTCAGGTGTAAAGAAGTGGGAAATAGGGGGTTTAGATCTACTTGTTACATGTATAATGTAATGAAACACATGTAATGCATGTTCCTCTGTGATTTTGAATTAAATGTGGTTCTATCTGTTTTAGGTTTTGTTTCATACTTCACAGCTCTGGGTTACCGAAATTTAAATACCAGGTAAAATATCACTAACTTACAAACTGTAGGCAGTACTTTTATAGAAATTACTTCCGTTTTGACTCAAACATTTGTCTGTTTTATCAATGATTATTAATTGCCTTGTTTTCCTTCCCCAGTCTGTTCCTGCAGTATGTTGATCATGGAGTCCTTCAACTTACAGGAGAATTCATGGCTCAGGTTCTAGCAGGTAACACAAAAATTAAATTACTATATTAACATAAATGTCTTTTTTTATGAATAACAATTCATGATGAAAATTATGTAGTGTAACTGGACTTCTGAAAAATCTAATAAAATCCAAGTTTGTGCAACATGTTTGCGGTATTAAGGCACTGGGTGCAAATATTCTTCAGAATTTTCAAATTACAGTGACTTGCCCCTAATGGGAAAGGATGTAACATTGCTTATAATAATAAGTACCTTTAAGACACTTTGGTTTATATTATTTTTAGTAGGGATGGGTATCGCCAAAAATTTTGTATCGCGATATATCACAAATTTTTCTCAAAATATCACGATAATATTATGATATTTTTACTATCAATTTTTGCAATGATTTTTAATGAATTGTCATTATTTTTCATAAAAATATTCTAGAAAAACAAAATCTCACTTTATAAAAATTTTTATGAACATGCATAAATAATTTAATTTTAGTTGTAACACCTCATTTGATTGGTTAAACGGTTTTATCCATTTTGTATAACATAACTTGCCTACGTCACAATGAGTTACGTCAAAAACGTATTACTCCACTTGACGTTAATTTTAAAATAAAGCTCAATTTTAAACCTTTTTCACCAGGAAATATTGTCTTATTGTCTACCCTGAAATTAAATTATAAGGAATGAAGCTTTTTTCAACTTATGTTATCTGATATAACAAAACTTGGGGCAGTTTACGCTTTCTTATAAACCGCTTCACGGTTTATAAAGCGTAAACTGTCCCATGTTATGTAATATCGGATAACATTAGTTGAAATAAGCTTCATTCCTTAAAAGTAATCATGTTTGGATGGTAAGATGCTGTTCTTTTCACCTTTTACAGCATTTCTTAGACTTTCTTTAATTGTAATTTGAAAGATTGAACAAATAAATGAATAATTTCTGGACTTTATAATATGTACTTAAATACCGGTATTTAGGTCTCCGTATCACGATACGTATCGTGCAACAAAAAATCACGATATACCGGTATACCGATAAAATCGCACATCCCTAATTTTTAGCAAAAAAAAAAAAAAAAAATCATGGAAGTAAGGGAAGGGATTAATAAATTTGTAAACATCTCTAATTTCTCTTTTTTCCTAGACATTCAAGACACCAAGGAAGGTGTGAGAATAAAACAACAAATAATTTCCAGATTACCTCAGGTATGATTTGTCTGAAAGGGGAAAAAAAGAATTCTGAGACTCCTGATTCTGAATCTGGCCCTGGGACAATAAAAAATAGATGAGCCTACTTTTTATCTCAGTCTTGCTTTTACAAAAGGAATATGTAGCAAAAAGTGAGAATGAGATCAAAAGTGAGTTTGATTTGTCTAAGTTTTCTGGCCCCAGAGCCAGTCATGACAAATATTTTTAGGACATTCATGAAATTTCCCACTGAGTAGCGAAAGAAAGCCAATTGTAGAAACATGAAATAAATTTTAAGTTTAAGCACAGTTTGTATTGCTAAATGGAGTCAAAGTATGGTTGTGAAGGAAAATGCCTCCAATAAACATTTTTTAAGGAAAATATGAATCTTTATTCTAAGGTTGGGGCAAATTTTAGAGGGTTTGGGAGCACCCCTTCTCTTAATCTATCATTGATATTTGTACAGGGATTTGTTCAACATCTGCAGCACTGGCAACTGAATCTGTTTTATTCTTTGACTATTCTACTGATATCTTTGTTTAATAGAACCTGGCAGAGGAGTGTTATAGAGAGTGGAACAACCCCCTGTGTCACAGGTACTTCGCCCACAAACAGGTGTCCAGCATCCTCCAAGGTACATGTAGGGGAAATCGGTCGATGTTATTGGCAGAGAATTCTGTAAACTCATTAACAAATAGAAAAATTACTTGATTATCAATCAGTAGTTTAATTAATCAGAATGTTGGGTGTTAGTGTCATATTTTTTAGGGGTAGGGGTGAGGGTCAAGAGTATAGTTTTGTTTAGGAAATTGTTCTCAGGGAATAAATTCTATAACAAGAATGATTCATACATGGTAATACAAGCGGAAATCAAATTTACTATGTTCCTTTCTTTTCTCAATGTAGATATTGATATGTACTGGTTACTTCACTGATTAGAAATGTGCTGTTAATTCATGTCCTACTTTCTATCCACAGATTCTAACATCCAACAGGAGCGCAGTAGAAAATTATCTGATTACTCCTATATGGCCAGAGACAGATGTAAGTCTCTGTGGTATATACCAGTATAGGAGAAGTACCTTTGATTAAGATTGTGATATTTTTCATCAGAACTGTTCATTTTGCCAATAAATTGGACAAAATTTGCTCACTTGAGCTTAGAGGCTCTTGTAAGCTTTTCTGATCCATGAATAATATATTTTACAATTGTTTATTTGTTTAACATAATGGGAACTATTTAACAAATCATGATTAATCTTAAAAATTTGTTATATTCTTTAAGCCGAGAGTTCAAACTCAAGCTTGGCTGATGTCTCCTTTCCACCATTGGCCTCTTTCCTTCATTATCTCGAAACTTTAGGTGAGTTGTTTTAAATATTAGAAAAGTAAAATTACAGACATGCATTTTTTCATGTTTCATAAAATGTTGATTTTAATTTGTATTTGCCATTATGGCATTGAATCCTTATTGATACAACACAAGGTAATGACATCATGATTCCAGAATTTAAAACAGCAAGGATTCAGTCTTTTCTAGCTCATTCCTATATTCATTGATTCAGTAGTTTCTGGTTTGTAGTCATTCAAGTTGCAGCCTTGATAATTATTAGTACATTCAACTTTTAAAAGACTTGTTTTCTTGTAAATTTATGAAATTATCTACATTCATTTTCTGTTAAACTAATACCACAACCATGAAGTATACATGTGATAGGTTAAAAAAAAAAAGAAAACTTTTTAAAAGACACAAGACATAAAATTTTGTACAAGCTCAATAAAAATCTTTTTCATCTAATCTGCTTTACAAAAAATGCATTAAAAACTGCTCATTACAATCCTTTTGTGCAAAAATAGTGTTACCTTGTATAACGCTATGGTGCATAATTATATAATTTACATTTCTAAATACTTTTCTTTAAGATTCTATGCAAATAGGAAGACTGTTCATTTTCTCATGAGCTACCATGAATGTGCATGGATATCTCCAATGTTACGTCATAATACCACACTTGACGTCAAAACTATAGTGCAAATTGTTTTGCTTTAAAAATGACAGTTGAATGGCATAAATTTTAAGGCAACTCATCAGAAAAATAATGTAAATATAAGAAATGAATTTAATTTTTGAAGATTCATGAGGTATATGAACTACAAAGCTTCACTCTGGCATATTTATCATGAAGCAAATATGCCGGAGTGAAGCATCGTAGTTCATAACCTCATGAATCTTCAAAAATTAAATTCATGCATTTCTAAATAGTTCTATTCAAAAGCATGTTCAAGGATTTGATCACGTGACTGACCCATATATTTATATCCTGATAAAAGTTTTCAAATTATACCTTATTTTTTAATTATATATACCCTCTGTTTTACCATCTTCGTGATGTACATGCAAGAAACTTTAACTGTCTGTGAATTTTCTATTTTTAGACACAACTAAACAGACCCATACCCAGAATCCATTAGATGTGAACTTCCTGTCTGACGTGGCTCTATATCACACCAAAAAGGAGAACAAATATGACATGTCTACTGTCAACTTCTAGTCCTTACTGAAATGTTTCCTTAAAACTAGTGATCAAGGACATTTCATTCAAATTAGAATAGTAGTCAACATTTTTTATTTGCCAAGAAATTTTCATTTGATCGTCTTCCAAAGACAAGGTTTTGACTTTATCATGTTATAAATTTTGAATTTACCAGGGGGAGGTAGAAGCAAAATGCAAAGTTAGTTGTAATTGTGGTGTGTTGTTTTGCATTTACATGTACCTCCATAAGTAAATAAAAAATTTGCAATATGATAAGTTTCTGATGCATTCTTCTACTATGGAATGGAGCTGATCAGAAATCTTTGACATTGGAAGATCTGGTTCATGTATGTTATCAATGTGATAATTTAATAAGCTTGACTCGGGAGAATCTGGCATATTTTACTAGTATTGGACTTTTAGAGAAGCACTGACTTTTACAGTTGACTGTTTATTTGGACATTTAAACATTCACATCTACGGAAGTACATAATTGATAATGGAAAAGAAAACTTTTCTAGTGGTTATGGTAATTGTGTTAGGGGCACTTGTATGTGAAGGCCTGGATTTGAGGGTAATATGGTTGTCGTTTTCTTCAAGGACAACTTATCTGTGCTTTGAAATAGCCCATTTTTTTTTCATTGAATTAAATGTTGAGCTAAATTATTATATCGTAAAAGAGGTTACGTACATTGTCCTAGTGTGAGAGTAATTCATCAACCATAAAAGTCCGTGCTTCTCGTAAAAGTCCTTTAGTGATCCCTTGATATGATGCAGTCTGTGATGCTGGTTGTTTAAAATATTACTTTAAATTTATGATGGGATATTTGTGCAATATTATAACCATTGTTGTTGATTAAATTGTTTTATTTTATTATTTATTTATTTATTTATTAATAAATGAGGAATAAATTTGATGTTAAAATTCTGATATTGATTGATTGTATGCTATTTTACGTCCAGTTCGGGAATTTTTTGCTCATTTAGAATCGTCACCAAATAACTTGAGCGGCTTCAAATATAAACCTTTACTTGGCACTCAGGGTCATTGAGTTGTGTTGGGACAAACACCTACCAAGACAAGAGGCGTAGGTTTTTAATGTTCTGAAGGACCTGCAATTTTCACTTTAAAGTGTCGGCCCATGGTTAAGGAACAGTTACTATCTATTTTTATAGACTTAGGTTAGTCAAGTCCGAGATTCAGACTCAAGTTTATTCGATCACGGAGCAAGTGCTCTAACAACTGAGCTACAATGTATAGTGACAGTACCTCTTGTTTGAATTGGATTACAGAGCTACCACGTGATGAAAAAGAAAACTGTGAAGGATAGTATTGTTCTCTTGCCTACCACCAAGTCAATTTTCAAAAGTAAAGATATTCGAATGATTTTTTAAAAATATTTATACTGATATTTATATGGATTTCCATCAAACATTTCTTATTTGAGCAAACATTTCTTATTTGAGAAAATAACGAGTAATGACGCCAAAATTTTGACAAATATCTTTTTTTCTTCTATAGAAATCGAGAGAAAACAGAAAATAATTTACACCACCGTTAAACAAAATATCCTTGTTATGGGTAATTTGGACTGTCATTTCACAAATTCTTGCCAAAGCTGTTTGTGTTTCACGGGGGACATATGTTTATAGACACAAACCGAAAAAATACTTTTTTTCCAGCATTTTCTAAGTCTTTTACAGATGAAACATTGTATTTTACTACAATATGCTTAATTTTATGAGCATAAATCATAAGAAAAGATTTAAGAAAAAAATTTTCATATCTAAGACTTTTTTAAATTATGGTGGTGCTTTAGAGCCCGATTTCCGTGGAAAATATCGTCCAACCCCCTTATATCAGGTGCTGGAATTAGGGATATTTTACTATTTAGCCCTAGTTTTCAAATAATTAGTTGATTGCCATTGAACTGTTCTATATATTTAACTAAGATTTTATGGCCAAATTGTCATCAATACTGAATTAAATAGTTGTAAAATGTAGGCGGGAATCGAAAGTTAACTGAAAGGTGACTGATAGTCTTTTAAAAGTCACTGAACGGCAGTAATCTTCCATTTAATGACTTTTCCAGACCTTTCCGTTGACTGTCAGACTGACAGTTGAAGTTTCATCCTGTGAACTGGGAATTATTTCTAGTAAGTGGTGGTCCAACAAATAAAATGGTCCTTCTCTAATATGGAAAGCCTTTAAACTGTCAGTTTTAAATATTTTTATATTACCAACAACCAAGCTTAATCTGAAATACCCTTAATGCTGAATTCTTTAACTAAATAAAATTTCTTAATATAGATATTTATTGTGTGGCTCTATCAGGCCTCTTTCTTTACTCCTCAATAATTTTTTTATAAGATTGGAGATGTACTACCTTCATCATATATTTGAGAAAGGATGTTGATCTGATGTCAATATATTAATCCTCCAGAGAACTAATTCATTTATTTACTTATTGCAGAGGTAAAATGAAGGAACATTAATGGTGCCTTTTAGAAATAATTACACCCAGGAAAGGTAGGCAGGGTTTTTGTTTTTAAAAAGTTCAAAAACCGGCCACAGGAGTATTTCAATACGTCTGACAAGCTAAGACGACTGAAAATAAGCATAGAAAATAGAAAGAGAGTATAAATAAAACAAAACAGAACTAAGTGATCGTCCATATTCGCTAGAACTCAGGCATCATGAAACTCCTTTATCCCCAAAACGTATGAAAACTATGAAAGGAATAAAAAAAAAATCAGATATATCAGGACTATAAAAAAAATATGAAGATGACGAACAGTATTCAAGATCAAAAGTCCATTAAACAATAAAAAATATAGGAACATAGCAAACACGGACCTCCAAAACATCAGAGTTGAGATCAGGTGCCATGAAAAAGTAAGCATCACCTGCCGACCGGTCACACCCGCCGTGTGCTCCATGTCATGATCGGGAAATATCGTGTTTATTGTGCATCCCTAAAAATGAGTATGCTGAAGCTTTTCTGGTGACGAGTACAAACATTTAAGACATCTGTAAAGGTCAAGGGGGAATACTATACAGGGTTGAACCTGCTTTACATGCTTTACTTAGTTTAGGTGACCATTTGCATTACTTATTGCACATCCCTCGTACATGTATTAGAAGAAGGTGATTGATTGATTAGTTAGTTATATTTGTATAACGCCGAGTCGGAAAATATTTCAGTCATGTTTTGTCGATATTGCAAGAAGAAGGTCTTATATCGATTCTATTTTTACATGTAGTTATGATGTGACTAGCTGCTTTGCACATTATACTGACATTCAGTTCTCCTCATGTTGAAATAAGAAAAAAAGTCAAACCCTCTGACAGTTTTGGCATGCAAATTGCTATTTATATAATTTTCATTTAGAATTCCAAATTAAAGGACTTTATTCGGTAATAACTAATAACCAATATTTGCCCCCCCCCCCTCAATCAAACTTTGACGGAGAAATATTAACTATGCTCTAAAACGTGGGGATGTGTGCTGACTTCAAAGCACTGATTATTTTCATAAGCAATGACGTCATATGTTTGAAATGACGTAAATTCAACATTTCCATTATTTCTACAGAAAAAATGTACATGTACGAGGGGTTATCAAAAGGTTCGTGGACTGAGGCTGTAAAATTAGTACTTTGTAGTCTGTGCTCTCAAAATTTATACGGAACATAAAACAACACAAAATAAAGAAATGTTGAAAATTTTAGCCTGATACGTTCATTATATGCCAAATTATTATAAAATGAAAACGACATTATATGATCACCCGGCGCTGCCGTTGTTTGTTTTCATGATGTCCGATAACGTCATTGTTTTTTCAATGTCCTCCTCTCCTACCTCATACACTTTTTTGATGAGATTTCCTGAAGCTGAGTAGGACTTAAACCCGCCTTGTTTATATGACTCTACAATGTCATGAACAGTGGCCTTCAATGAATATGATATTGAATTAATATATTGGGAGAGATCAGCGCTTGATTGAGCCGGCATATTTTGCTTTTGGGAGTTCAATATCTACAACATATGATCAACGTCATTTTTGACGGGATTGATTTTTCACACTTTGACTGCAAATCGACATTAACTGTGTATCCCTTTACTCTCTGGATCTATTTTGACATTAAAAGACAGGTACTTTGGATGCATATTATTTTTCTGTAGCCAGTTTCAACATAATTTAGGTATATACAAGTTTTTTCAGGGGCAAAACTATATAGAATGTTGGAAGCGGAAACCATCACCCCTTTTGACGTCATTTTCAAGGCCTCATTTGTTTGGACATTCCGTGTAAAATTTACGATAAAATTTCATAGAACTTCCAGAATGAAGTGAAAATTTCGTATTTTATAAAACAATTGTGTCCCGACACATACCTGAATTAACGGGATTTTTGGATGTCAAATAATCATATCAAAGGAGTTTTTTCCAGTTACACATAGGTCGAAAAAACGTCGTTTTCGAGGCTGCGCCGCCTGGACATACCTTTGCTTACAAAAACATCACTTATTTATTAAAAAAATAAAATTCATGATTTGTGGTTTATTCTTTGGATAGAAAAGATGATGCTAACTAGATATTTCAAAATTCACTGATGTACCTTAAGCGGTTTTAATTTTATGGCGCTAGTCCACGAACTTTTTGATAACCCCTCGTATATATTACGTCGATATTTTGAGTAAAAGTCAAGGAGCGCAGGTCTTATCAGGCTCAATATTTTGATATAATGTGTAGAATGATAATATCAATGAAATATGTAACTAGTGTTCCTGAGCAAACTTTTGCTCTATAAATTTTTTAGCTAAATTTTTGTAATTTTTTTTCCCATTTTGTTCTCTTTCTACAAAATTACATAAAATCGGACTAGCTTGTGACATAAAAACAAAAATTGTCAATATTTACATTTGCCAATGTCTTTCCTTATATGACAATACTAAAAAAATGACATTCAATTTTCAATGACATGCAGTCGGTCACATGATCAGATTTTTGCGTATGGAAAGCAAACTGCACGAGACATTTGGAAAAAATTGACTGTGATATATGACGTCGTATTTATACTTTATGTTGCATTCAATAACAAAGTCTAAATACGGCATTTTATCTTTGTAATGTGAATAGAAATAAAAATATAAATATAAGAAATAAAAAATCATTTTTAGAGTGTCAATGGGATATGATATCAATTTTTTTACGTGTTCAAATTTTTATAATTTTTTTTCGGGCCATTTTGATCTCTTTCTACAAAATTCATAAAATGTCATATCCCAATGACATAAAAACAAAAATTGATATTTTATTTCAATAACCTACTTTGAAATTATAATATATTTTATCAATTTATAAAAATACAAATATTTTTATTGGCACAAACACAATTACAATAATTGGCAAAGGCACATCATATTAAGAGTATCATCAGTTCTTCATTTAAACAATAATCTGGTATAGAATGTGAGGATATACATGATCATAGTTAAGTTGTACCATAATTTGTAAAATAATTATGCTATACAGTCTTTTCTAGATTTAATACATGTACATTTTTTAATAAATGAGTTTGTCATTTTCAGTACTTCTGGACAATGGCTAATACAGCAAAGTTTATTTTTTTGAGTATTAGACATATTTGATTTTTTTTCATGAAAAAATTCATCGAATTCCTTTCAAAAGTTAACCTATGATTATTGTATTTATGGCAGATGAAGAGAAAATGAAAATCATTTTCAACCTCCCTTGTGTAACATATATTACAAATTCTTTTATCTGCGGGTATAGAAGAATGTCTTACTTTTTCTATGGCAAGGTTATGAGCACTAGGTCTCAATCTGCTAATAATTGATCTGTCTGTT